CCAACTGTTGCTCCAAGAGTGCAGCTGGTCTATATCCTCTTGTTGTATTTGGAAGTACCTTTCGTCTTTTATCTCCCTTCACAGTTTGAGATCATCTGCAAAGAGTACTTTGTCCGATTTAACTTTTCGCACGATGTCATTTACCTAGATGGTGAAAGGGAGCGGCCCAAGAATTGACCCTTCTGGAACTCCACTTTGGCAGGTGCCCACTCTGAACAGTAGCCGCCTGCAGTAACTTTTGGACTACGGTCTCCAAGGAGATCTTAAATCAAGTTCAGGAGCTTCCCTGTTATCCCAATGTTGGCCAGCTTTCGAATAAGGCGCTGACGTAGAACGCGATCAAATGCCTGGGGGAAGTCGAAGTAGATAACAGCTACTGAATGTCCTTCATCCATGGCTTTTGTCCAGTGTTCTAGCATTGTGATAAGATTTGTAAGACAGGACCTCTTCTCACAGAAACCTCGCTAGACTGAGCTGATTTGGCGGTGAAATATTTCGAGCGATAAAATCGATTTTCTTGATTAGCCTTTCCATCAGCTGACCGGTCGGTAGGTGGTGGAATAGAGCCGTGATCGTTCCTTATGGATGGGTACGAACTTTGCCAACTTCCATGTTTCAGGAAGCTTACCAGCTTCGAGCGATTTTCGAAAGATTGTACAGAGTGGTTCCGCTAATTCTTCAGATAGTTCGCGCAGAAGTACACCTAAGATCTCATCCAGTCCAGGTGACTTGGCCGGATCCAACTTTAACTCTACCAAAACTTCCTGCTGTGTAAATAATACAGTGTTAATAATCAAGTTGTTGACGACATGCGACAGAGAGTAGGGCTGGAGAGGTGGATCGGTGTTTTTGAGGGCTACCGCAAACCGTTTCATTATTTTTGTCTTTTAAGGTTGTGAAATGATCACGGTTCTTTGTAGAACTTCTGATATAGGCGTAGAATGCTTTGGGATTTTTTGGTGCCTATTCCAGGAGCCGTAGTTCATAAGAGGCTTGGGCTTCTCTGAAGAGTCTGTTGCATATGTTGCGTTGTTGTCTAAATTCTTGAAGCTTTTCTCGGTTCTCCGTTTGTATAAATATTTTCAACAGCTTGCGCGGAAAACACCGCATAACTTAGTCTAAAGTGACACTTGCATTTTTGTGCTAGTACTACTATAATATCTGTAGTGGTCCCTTATGCCCGAAACC